TGCTGAAAATTCCCCTTAAGATTTTTCATGCACTAGTAATTGTGCAGGGTATTGTAAGTGGATGGGCAACATAACCTACTTAATTCCCAGAGTCTGCTTTCCACAGCAAATGATTTCACAAAACCTTAACATGTAATCACTACCATTGGAGGCCAAATGGGAAACAATAAACCATTAGTGTAATAGCACATTATGAACGGCTACCTTTGTAAATAATACATTTCAACTGTACATTTATGGCTCGACACGGTACCAGGGAAAGGGGTTCCAGGCCCTCAGTTTATACTTGCTGCTGCTGCCGCCGCAGATTGGAAAGACGCCTCCATGCGAACCAAGAGAGGTGCCAATTTTCCCTGCAGAGAGTGGAGCTGGCAGGCTCTTTTTGCACATATGGTAGATGGATTGGTTAATCAGCCTCTGCTGAGCCTTGGGCCTGAAATTACCCAGCAGCCAGACAACTGCAGCGCCCCAGCTTTTGTTCGGTTACGCAAACAAGGCAAACAAACAATCACTTGTTGTTTGGGGGGGGGAAATGAAACTTTAAAAATTTTACGTTTATTGGAGTGCTGATGGCTGATAAAACAGCTATACAAACCCAGCCATTGAGTTTTCATTATGTTTATACAGGAGGCTTTCATTATGTGTATTAAGGGCAAAAACTATTTTTGATTGTTTCACCAGAAAGTTGCACGCAGTACTAAAAAGGGAAGAGCTTCCTTCTAGTCTTGTCTTAGCTTAAAGCTAAAAAACCTCCAGCGTGCCAGTTCTCACTTTTCAGAATGTATTTCTTTCTGAAGACTGCAACTTTCACTAAGAGTCAAATGTACAGAGTAAGGTGCCATCTCAGCATTGCAGGGATCTGGTAATTTACATACTTGCCAGGGCATTGTTTTTTAAAGGCTAATATATACATTTCTTTCAGTACTTGAAAATATTTAGGACTTATTTCTGCAAATAATACATGCTATATACTGCATTAGACAGTTTATATACTATGTAATTGCCTACTTGAGTTCATCATTTTCATAAAGAGAGTTTGGGCACAGTTTTACTTGCAGAGCAGTGTCCAGTAATTAATTAGTCAACCACTATGGCTAGGTGAATCCAGATTTTACTTGAGCTGTACTTTAGGTTAAAGAAAAATTACACCTTTTTAGAGGTGTGTAGTTAAAAGGTATATGTTTTTTATTTACTGTAACAAATATATTATAGAAACTATCGATCATTATTTGGCCCGTATATGTAATACTAATGCTCACACAAGACATAGCTGATTAAAAAAATTGTAACATCTAATATAAGGGCCCTAATGCATACATTACAAAGAAAATAAAAAATCTTTAACGTTTACTGAAATAGTTCATTTATACTTTTCTATTACGTGCAGCCAGAGATGCAATACTATAACTTTTGTTTCAGATTTTTTTTTTTGGTTCAAATTTTTTTGTCCTGACTAAAGCTGTGTGCTCAGCTTTTACATGTGTGACATTGCTTTTGTGTTTCAGGCTGGTGGCACTGCAGTAGGATTCATGAGCTTATGTTCTCAAGTAAATGTTTCCTTGCTTCAAGAGTGTTTTGATCTAGGGCCTTTCCATGGGCTCTGTAAACCACATCCTGAAGATATTCTCAAAATGCCAGAGAAGCCAAGCATTCAAGAAGGTACCTGTACTGGAAAACTCTAGGTAGATGAACAGGGCATTCATTCTAGCTTCTGAGTCGGTTTTGCAAAGGGTTGGAAGAGGATATAGGTTTGCTAGCAAGAAAACACAAATTAATGTATGAGTTTGGAGATGGCTGCCTGGCGTTTTTCACTTCAGGGGAAAAATTTTGATAGCCCTGGTCTGACTTGGAAGCGATTGTTGTTTGTGGGGAGCCACGACCTGGGTATGGGACAAAGCTAGGTTTCAAGTTTTGGAAAGCTAAAGCATAAGGTGCATTTTCTATGGGTTAGCTACAGCTGTGGTACTAACTGAAGACTTAGTTTGAAATCTGGTTCCAATGTCTGTCAGTAGCTAAGCAGCTGGTTAACTGTGACTATTATGTTCTCCCACTGACGTGTCATCTCACTTCCTTGTGGTCCCGCTTCTGCTCTCTGCTTATTGCTTGCAGTCTTCTAGGATACGAGATTTTGGGAGATCATGGGCTGTCTCTTTTTTCTGTTTTTGTATTGGGCATGATACAACAATGCATCTACAAGCCTCCTTACTTGCAAATGATGAAAAACAGTAACATGAATATGTCACCTGTTTGTAGAACAGAAGTGTCATGTAAGTGATTTACAGTTGTCATCATTTTTCAGTGTCAAAGGGCTTTTTGTGCAGAAGGGCAACATTTTGCTATCTACTAATTATCAGTAATAGAATAAAAAAAAAAACACCATTAGGTTGTTGTGTATCTGCTTGTCTGAACACAAAGCAGCAGGCAGAAGAGGCAGCTAGGGAGCTACAGAGCAGCAGTCACCAGCTGGCGTCTCGGAGCTGAGAGTGGTGGAAGAGAAAAGGGACAGGAAAAGGTCTTACAGCTGCTCCTGCAGCCTCCCCCTCCCTGCAATGAGGTGTCCTGCAGATGATGGCTGGCTCCCTCCATCTCTTAACTCCTGTGTCGTCCTGTGCTCCTGGAGCTCCAGCAGTAGCGTTTCCAAATAGGTGACAGACATAGGTAGGGGCATAAATGAGGCTGCGGGAGGCAGAAAGGTCACTCACAACAGTCTCTCTGGAAGCTATTTGGAACTCAGCCTGGGCAGTCTGCACTAGGTGACCCTGCCTGAGCAGAGGACTTGGGTGAGATGTCTTCTGTGACGGTTGTCTGGTTCTGCTAAAACCCTTGGACACAGTTGTCTGCTTTCCTTGTTTGGGGGCTGCAAGCTGTATGCCCATATTTTGTGGCAATTTCTGTGCTGATCAGCCTTTTAATGAGTAAAAATTAGCCTTTTAAGAGGGAAAAAAATCATATGTATACTATTGGTACTCTAATTTCTAACACTGCTTCAGTAAGGCATTAGCTTCTAATAAGTTACAGAAGTTTATTATGGTTTGTTGAAAATATATGCTTTATATGGTAGATATTTGATAAACAGCTTTTCTTTTTACTGCTTGTTACAGATTTGACCTATGACTATAAAAAAAGGTTTGTATTTTTCAAGCAGTTTGAATGAATTCCTTCTGAATGATTTGGATTTCATTATTGCATAAGATGTGGCTCAAAATTTGTTTCAGTATTAATTCATGAGGACATCCAGGAAAAGCAGTATTTATTTTTTTTTTTAAGAAACAAAAGAAAAAAGCCCACTATTTTAATAAAGATGTTCACAGAAAGGAGAGAGAAAAACAAAAAAAAAAAGAGGAAAAAAAAACCACAACACAAAAACCAACCAACCAGCCAAGCCCTAAGCACAGTTCTCCTCTCTGACTTTTTCAATTTTTTAAATGTTGTTTGAAAAGTGAATTATCTTGTTTGGGTTTTTTTTCGGTAAATGTAGAGCCCATGCAAGAGTTACCTCCTGGTAGTCCATTGTTAAGCCTCTTCAATAGAAGGGCCAATCTATATCTTTGGAATTTATTGTGGTGTCAGTCATGTATAGTTGATATTTGATTATATTTCATAACACACGTGCAATTATATGAATGCTGTTGTAACGATTGCACCGTTTCTGCAGGCGACTGTATTGGAAATTTGCTGCCAAATTGTCCCCCGATGGAAGGTTCACTAGACACCTTATGTAGCAGAGGAGGTGGACTTCCTCTTAATGAATTCAAACGCTGAGAATTTAACATGCGAGCTGCATTCCTTTGTAAAATAATTGTATGTTTCCACATTAAAAAGCCACGAAACCATAAGGGTAATTTTTCAAGCTCTTTAGCTTCTAAGTAGAGACCACAGGTTGATATTATTTTTCCTTTCAAAATGTAGTGCTGAATAATAATGAAGGAGCATAGGAAAATCTGTCTTTAACACAGTATTGATATGCCACTTACGTTTCGGGGTAATTACAGTAATTTGGTTGTTACTCTATATGGTGTCACAAATTAGTCGCTAGAAAACATGATGCAGTGGGAATGATTCAATGGCTTTTCATCAGGCTTCATGGTGAACTGGCTTCTTGATCCTGCTGACTGTTACCTCTGCTAACAACCCAGCAATCACTGAATTATTTTAATTTTCTCTTTGTTCATGTTCCTTACCAGTTACTTGTGCACAGCATATATGTAAACAGTAATGCAGCTACACTTGACAGTAGTAGATGGTGAAGCCATTAAGGGGTTTTGTTTCAGTATAAAGTCAGAAACAACACATCAATATTTACCTGACAACAAGAGACTTGTATTAATTAACTTCTGACACCTGCAAGGTTGTTTATAATGAGAAATGTAGCTGGGTTAATCAAGATGACATTTGATCATTTTTGTGAAGCCTCACATCTGTGATACCCTTGGAGAAACCATGATTTCTAACCCCTGTGTTTCTTCTTGCCCTGCACATTGCAGCTGCATGCTTGTCTTGTAACAGAGAAGCAGATTTTCGGATAACAGATTTTTAAAAGTACTTTTGACCAAACTGTTTTAAACCTTTGAAGTGTGGTGGTTTTGTTTTTGTTTTTAAAGCTTATTACTCTGTGAAGAAATGCTGATGTCGGTGACTGTAGCTTACACGGGTTTCCCAAGATAAAGTTCAGAGAGGGGTGTGAAGAATTCTCTTGTGCTGGGTTCTCTGAAGTCTTTTTCTTCCTCCTGGAGCTCATAAATGTTCGTTTCCTTGTGTTACTGGAGCTTTCAAATGCATCTTGGCCTGACGTGTTTTCTGCAGCAGTGATACCTACACCTCAAGAGTTTATTAGTTAAAACTTATTTTCAGGCTTTATTTGGAAATATAAAAACCAACTGTGAACATATCTGTAAAATGAGGGAGGTGACAATTCAAGGAATGGTGGAACTATTAAAGAAATGTTCAGGGGCTCGAAATACAGCAGCTGACACTTTGGTAATTTTGGTGATTATTTGTAGCAATATGTAGAAATCACTTGTATTTCAAGGCTTCTTTTCCAAGTTGATGATTAAAAGACTTAGTCCACAACATGCACTTTAAATGTGACCTTTGTGATGCATTATCAGATGATCTCTTGATCCAAACACCCTCAGCTTCCACTGACTGTAAAGAAAACAATCCATCACCCTACAGATTCAGGACCTGCTTTCCCCAAAGTCTGTGACATCTGCTGGAAAGGCAATTCCCTGCTGCCTGGCAAGGATCACAATGTTACAATGGTTTGTGGTCAGTTCTGTATCAGATATCAGAGCAAAAATTTATATATATAATACATGAGTTAGGAATTGCTTCTAAACTGTCTTCTTCAATTCTTATTTTACAACCAGTTCTCTGATTTATTTTTTTCCCCCTTTGAAATCCAATAGTATCATGAAGTTCTAGTCAGGTAACTATAAGAGTGTCCATTTTACCTGTGGCTGTTAAACTTTTCAATAGAGAGGTAGAGTGGCATATTCTAGTTAGTGCTGTGATTCCAAGGGTTCAGCTCCCATTTTTAAAGCTGATGCATTTATTCTTTTTCATTGCTCAAATGAAGACAAAAGCAACCAAACAAGTCGAGAAGCAGTGTCTGCTACATCTCAAAACTTTGAAGATATTCATGACTGGGATGCAGCTGTTCAGGTAACACCACTGTACACAGCAATGCTGATAACTTTAGAGGCCAATAGGAAGCAAAGTGGAGGCTACTAGGACAAGCAACAGTATTGTTTCCATTTCTGCACCGTCCTCTGCACAGGCCTAGATGTAATTTGTAGAAGTTAAAGGGCACATGTTCTGTCTGTGTCTCTTCTGTTGAGTAAAGCTCAACTTGATAAAAGATCATTGCTATGAAATGTATTGGTGCAGCATAAATCAGCAGGGAATTTATCCTGAGAAATTTGAAACAGTTGCATCTGTCTTAGTCTCTCTCTGGATACTACATCAAGCTGCTGCTCTGGGTTTCTTCCCCTTGTTCATTTCCGTTTCCACAATATTCTCTGCATCGATCCCATTTTCTTTAACATAACATGTTTTTAACTTTCACATATTTTCAGTATGCACCTGGAAACTATTTTTTGTTAGTAGAGAAACATTTCTGAAATAAATACTTTATTGCCTCACAAAGGGACTCTAATGGTAACTATTAGTTGTGAATATATTGTTCTTTAGCAAGAATGTGTGTATTTTTAATGGTTATTTTTATCTGGATAAACATAATAACATAAACAGATATCCCATAAAAATACTTCCTTGAACTTCTGTGTTTGTCAAAATGTGACAAGGAAAATTTACATCTTTGTGTTTCTACTTGGAGTGCTCTAAGGCAGGAATAATGCAAGACCTTGTATTTCAAACTGGAAATATTTTCTGAAATGCTGTAAGTGATCACTTGTCTATTACTGTTGCAGAGAGATGGAGCCATTGCTGCTCCCCATGCAGAACTGTCATTAGATGATGTCAGAGTCAAAGATTTCAAAGCCTCAGGCACGCTTCTCCTTGAGACTGCAGAAGAGGGTGCTTTTCACCCAGTGTACAGGGGAGCTTCAAACGCTTTCTGCATCCGTCTGTTTTGTATTGATGAGGAGCATGAAACTAGGTAAGTATGGATGAAGAGTTGCTGCTTTCCCCGTCTCAATAACCATTTATAGTGCCACATTTTTTTGGACAAATCTCAAAGCAACAGCACCTACTGCATTTAGGTTGGATTTTTCCTGACCTCTTTTTTTCTGCTTCTTCTACCTTCACTAATAACTTACTGAAATTTTCAACCTCCAGCTGCAACTTCCCATCTCTGGTAGGACTGTGGGGACAAAGAGCTAGGAAATTATTTTTGTGGGAAATCTGCTGGTTGAAATTGTGGAAGAAGACAACTCTTCCTCTAAAGAAGCATTAACTCAAAAGCTGGCTAACTGTGGAAAGGGCTAGATGTTAGAGTACTGGGCATCTCATTTCACTGGGCAATAGAGCTGGTTTTAACTCAGCAGTTAGATGTTTTCATTTCTAAAAGCTCTGTCAACCAACACTGGGAGAATTGGTTCACTTATCTAGATTCCACTACAGTAGGGGGAAGACAAAGGCTTTTTATCTTAAGATGTTTGCTGCTGCTGGCCCTGGACTCTTAAATCCTAGTGGAGCAGAACAGATCTATGAATGTGGTTTAGACATTTTTTTCCCAAATTTCTCTGCACCCTTGAAGAGAGAACCTATACTCAACCACATCAGCAAAAGCCTTTCCAGGAACATCGGCCCTTTCTGAATCTAAATGAGCCCTGGTCTTTTTTATCAATCCTAGAAAGAAAGATAATATTTGTGGATGCTTACAAAAAGTAGGCAGAGGCTGAGCACACCCAAGTTCTTCCACACTTTTAAATACATGTAATTTCTAGAGACACAAGGTAGCAAGTACTTTATAGATGGTGATTTTTGTCAGCTGTGGTGCCACTTGAAAAAACATCTTTCTAGTTGTAGTCATTGGTGACTGACAACTTCTGAACTTACCTGGCCTAAAGGAAATTCAGGAATTAACTTCATGAAGAACAAAAATCAGAACTACTTGAAAACTAATATATTAAGCTGCTTCATGACTGAGGAAGACTACCCAAAGGGCTGAAACACTGAGTCTGCTACAAATGCAGATATACAATGTCAACAAAGCAAAGTGAACATGCAGCCTGCTTGGCACGTGTTTACTCGGGTAATATGGCTGGAGCTCCTGAGAAAGAGAGAAATGCTGTGCTGCAGGTCTGTGGTGTGCTTAGGAACACTGATCAAAGTGCATGTGACAGAACCATCACACTGCAGAAACCCATTCCCGAGTAGTTTATTTATGGAATTCTAGTCTAAAATAGAATTCAAGCAAGATAATTATTCTAGAATAAAATACCTTTATAATGATACTGCGTTGAAGGATTTGATCTGGAATGACTCCGCTACGCTGAAATAGCAATTCAAAGCAGTGATCTATAATTATGTCAGGAAATAATCTCTCTGTGGACTAGTTGAGTTCTCTGCTCATAGTATCCTGCCTAGAATAAGGTTCTGTCCCTTTCTGCTCCCTTCTGACATTCTGTCTTTCGTGTGTGCCACTGTTATTTCTGTTGAAGATATTCTCACTGTGTTTATTGCTCAACAGTCCCATTCTTTGTTCCCTGGAGACATCTCTTCAGCAGTTTGGATTCCAAGATGGGTATCTGTGGAGGAGATAGCATTCCTTTCTGAAGACTTCTCCTAAGCTTAACTTGTGCAAGATCCTCTCCTCAGAGCTGAAGAATCTGTAGATCTTGCTGTTTTCAAATATTTCACTTGAGTGCTTCCCTAGCTTGCATTTGCTTGATCCACCTGTCGTTAAGAGAAACATCAGAGAGGTGAATATGTGGAAGGGATGGCATGAGGTAATCCTGGCCGTGTCTCTGCGTCTGTTGCTGCAGGAGTTCCTGCTGCCCCTGTGCAGCGTGGGCCCAGAGGTGGTGCCTGGGCTGCGTGCAGGTGTGACTGCCCCTCTCCCTCCCGGGGAGTGTGCTGCTGGGCTGTCCTTTGCCCAGCCAGGCTGCTGTGTTTCCATCTCTCAGGTACAGAGCTGCTCCTGGCTCGGTAGCGCGTTGAAAGCAACGTGAGAAACAATTACATTTCTACTTTCCCTGCAGATATTTGATATCTTTTCAAGCCCCCTGAAAAATATCCAGCTTCCATTCTTGTGTTCCTTGCTGCCAAGAAGGCACTGGGTGCCAGAGAAGAGAAAAATACACTACAGTGGCATTTCCTTCCCTCATTTAGATATTCTATTAACGAGTCCTAATTATATAGGTGAATTTATAATACCCTTATCAAGATCGGTATTTACAGCTTTTTTTTAAGTTTTCACTCAATTATAGATATTTTAATTAAAAACTGTTTCTCTCTTCATAATATTATTGGTCAAGTAATTAGAGGAAACCTAATTACAGGTCTGGAGGGAGGAGAGGTTTTATCAGCATATTTAGGTAATTTTTATCTATGGAATTTCTTCAAAAGGCACATTTTTTATAGTGGAAAAGTATTTTATAAAGCTTCAGCATAACTCAGTTTTATGGGTTTAGAGCTCTGATATCCTTACATATAGAAGAGGCAGGAAGAATTTGTTAGATTCCTCATGTCTCACATCTCACTGTCACCATGGAAAGGAGAGTGGAATTACTCTAAAGCAGCAGGTGAGAATGGGAAGAAGTAAATTGTTCAAAAACAATTTCAAGGTATTGATGTTCTTGTTAGTCTGGTAAGGAACACTGGACAGGCCAACTCAGTGGATAGTGACAGAACTCTCGGTACTGGGTGGAAATATTGTGGAACGTGGCAACGACTGTTTGTAGCCTCAGTTAATGTTTGCTGTGTCCTAATGCTGCTCTGCCAGCCTGGCAAATATTCGAGTCAACAATGGAAGAATCAATTTTTTTCTTTCTTTTTTTCTTTCTTTCAATCAAGAGCCTAACGTTTAGGTATTATTTCAAACATTCAGGTTTATTTTTGCTAGTGGTGATGCTTTAAGCACTAAAGTCAACAATCGATGTGCAGGAGGCAACATCTGCAATGGATTAATGATGAGCTAGCAGGACTGTCTGATCAGCACTGTGAATAAATGCTCCTTGCACTTATGGGTGTACCTGTCCAAATGTGCAGTGTCTGTCTGATATGTGCTGTATTTAACAACATTTGTTCTTGGTTGCAGATCGCTGGATTTTTTGCACTATGTTTTCAAGCTTTTTCCGGTACGTGTGATTAAAGTTGTAATGTTTGTGTGTAGGCATAAACAGGATGGGATGGTAGCACAGTTGTCAGCCAGAGTACTTAGATATGATGCCCAAGTAAGTAATTCACTCAGGGTGGCTGTGAGTAGTTATCTTGGGCTGAGTTACCCTGAGGGATCTGACTCTTCTCCTTGGCTGCTTTAAGTATACCATACATGACAACTTTGTTCATGTTCCTCAGGGACTTTTCTGAGATGCAGATTTAGAAAGCAAATATTTCAAACTCCTTTAAAATCATGTGCAGGTCCAGACTGTATGTGAATTGAAAATAAAATTGGGGAAAATGCATTAAAGGAGATGGAGTTAAAACCTAGAAAACAACGTTATTAAGGAAATCCATACTATTTACCTATAGCCTAAACAGTAGCACTGAAGGTTCATGTTTAGGGCAGTTAATGTGCAGCAAACAAGGATGTGAATTTATAGTGCAGTAGCTATTTCAGACTAATGCCTTATGTGAACAAAATTTATCTGAGGTAACACAAGTCCACTTTCTGAGATATTAATGCAGCATACAGCATGTTGTAAATTCACAGTACAAATTACCGTGGGGTAGCACCCATTAGGTACAGGTCCTGGTGACCAGAGATGCAGACTTGGCCCTAAATACCAGCATGTTCAAAAATGCTGCTTGCCACCAAAATGAACACAGAAAGAAAACATTCGAAATCCTTAAGCAGTTTATCTGTCCTGCAATGTATTCCTTGAAACAAAAGGTCATGATAGAATCATGAAGTGTGCTTATAGAGAAGCAAAGGAGTGAAATTCAAATGTCTTTCTACGGAAAAAAATGCCATAGAATAATCGGCCAGAGTAAATTAATTAGAATTCTTCCAGGCCTGTGATACTTGGGAGTCTCTAAGCATGTGTCATGCTGTGTGAAGTGTCTTTCTGAGTTGTCAGAGTTCTCCAGCTTCCCTATGTGCAGTGAGATTATCTTAAAACGTATCTTCACTAAAAAGGGATGGGAGAGAGACTGGTGGACGGGAGTGCTTGAGCAGCCTGAATGGATAAGCTATTTGTGGCATGCAGTTTTTCTCCAGAGGATGCCCTCTTCCATCTGAGAGCATTCAGTGGAGATTCCTGCGTTCCTTTACACCTCTGCAGCCTCTGCAGCACAGGTCTCTGAACAGTTACACTGAGTGCCAGTGCAGCGTGTCTCTGTGTGCACACCCTGAGGAGGACGCACGCTGGCAGTGCCAAATTTGGGACAAACTGGACATACACAAACTTTCATTCCTCAGCTCTGCATTCCTCAGTGCAAAGTCAGTCTATGCGTATGCCCTGGCTGGCTGTTGAGGATTTCAGGATGTGCTGCTCTAATTGATGTTCTCACTTGTCTGCAAACGTGCAAAAGGTCGCAGACAGACATACACTGTAGTGAACTTTCACTGCAGAAGAACAGCAAGGTACAGAAAAGGACCTTTTAAGGGAAAATGTTAGCCGTAAAGGTGTAGGGATAGAGATATTGTTCCTACTAGGCTGCTGAATTAGATGATCCTTGTAGGTCCCTTCCAACTGAAATACTTTATTCTACTGAGGAAGAAGAGAGGGGAGGGGTAGTGAAAAAAAAAAGGACAGCTAGGGAATATCAGGATGTTAACTAATAAGTCTTTACTATGGGAGCTGAAAGACCTGTTTCTGTAAGCCAGCTTGATGTTGAGCTGCTCAGTCCCTTTGTGGTGCCCAGGCACCAGGACACCTGGGCAGAGCAGCACTTGGAGCGCACGTACATCGCAAGCGCTGCGTTCAGTTATCTGCCTCTCCCCTCTAGTCAGCAGCTTTCGTGTGAGGCTTGTGTTGAGATCACTAAGAGCTTTGATCATCTCCACGTCTTTTTCAGGACAGAGACTTCTGTGTCATCCTTGTGCCACATGACGTCCCAGAGTCCCACCTGGCCCGGAGCTTTGTGCGGGCTGTCCCGTCCCGCGCTGCCGGGCTCGGCCGTGAGCTCTACGTGTTCCACCGCGCGGGGCTGCTCAGGTGGGTGCTGTCCTCCCAGCCACTGCTGTGCCATGGGCTTGTGCCATCCAGCCTAGCACCAGCTGGGCGTCCCTTTGCTGTCTCAGACCAAGCTGACGTGCTGCGTGTGGTGGCACAACAGCTGGCAAACATGGCAGCTTGAGTCCCCTGACCAGGACAGTTGAGTAGCGCAGGGCTGTGCCTGGAGCAGTCAGGAGCAGGGCTAAATAACTTAGTCTTTAGCAATGTTACTGCTGCTGTCTTGCTTCCTGTTCTGGAGTGAATCCTAAACCTGCTCGGGTTATCTCCATACAGCACTATATGAGGCAATGTAGACATAGCCTTATATTTTCAGTGACAGGAATTAATTAGTGACATGATTTTGAATGAAATAAAAAAAATGAGATAATTAAAAATGTAAAAGCAAGCAGTTTTCCGCTGTCAGTGTTTAGATATAGCTTTCTTTCAGTAAAACCAAAGTGCAATGAGAGGTTTCATCTAAAATTTGTCTATACAGAGATTACTTAATGAAAATGAAGGTTGATACAGACAAATACCTTCCTCAAGTTATCTTGCTATGGACCAAGGCCAAGAGAGAAACTTGGTGCAGTGTTTGGCCCTTTGGACGTGGGTCAGGCTGCATAACATTGATACTTGAAAGCCTGGTGTAGATTTAATTCTTGGAAACATGGTGGAATTCTTTTAAGAGAAACGCAGTAATGCACTTCTGGAACATGCAGAACACAGCAGTAACCTCATTGTTGAGTATCTATTTTATATAATTTATATCTTTCTTTTATTATTGAATCATTTATTTCATAACTTTCAGTTCCTGTGATAATCTGAGCACTTCTGTAGTCTGAAACACTGGTGAAATGGGACACAAAACCTCTCTTGCTGTGACTTCTGTTATGTGGTGAGAGTTTTCCAGTGCTCTGTTTGTGTAATAAGCCTATACTGGCCCAAATACCAAGCTTAAATAGTGGCACAGTTAGAGATTTTCCTTTCTTTTTTTTTGGTCTTAATGTAGCTAAATACTGTGTGGTTTCAGAGAAATACTTCTGTTTTAATTGCGTACTTAATCACCTTTGGTGGTATACAAACAGCTCGTGCAGGAACTGGCCAGCTACTCTTGGACTTGTGCAGAAGCATTTTACCATGGGATGAAATTGGGCTTCTGTGTGCTATGTAAGAATCCAGCTGGCTGGAGAGAAAGCCACTGGAGTAATTCCTGTTAATCTCCATCACAGCTGTTCAGTAATCCACCAGTAGGATTCATGGTCATACGTCCTCTTGCAATTTTGATCAAAATTAAACTTGTTATCAAGGTTTTTTAAAAACCCTTACAATTCTGATTAAATTGTGCATATTCCAAATGATACCAGCCCTTCCATGAAAGCAGAATAGGGTCGTTAGTAGCATTTTCCAAATGGCAGCTGGGCAGGAAAGTATGGAAAATTGGCCTTTTGTTGAGGTTCAAGATCAGAAAAGCTATGGAAGAAAGCAGATGAAGCCTTTGGAAAGTTTCTGAAGAACAAGAAAAACCTCAGTGCACAGCAGCAGATATTCTGAGATAAACCCAAAATATGAAAAAGTAGAAGATCGATATATTGTACTTGCACTAAGGGCTTTTGAAAGGCATGTGAGTGAAAAGGAAGTCACAGAAAATGGATTAAAAGAAAAACAGGGGTAAAAAGATGCGAATATGAAGACATGAAAGGGCAAAATCAGGAAAGGCACAGGTACAAAATGAGATACTGATTAGTGAAGGCTGCAAAAGGAATAAGAAGAAGTGTTAAGTACACAAAAAGCAAGAGTGCAGCAAATGGAAGTGTAGGTCTGCTACTTAACAGTGAAGAAGAAAAAAATAACAGATGACAAGGCATAGACTGAAATGCTTAATGGACACTTTCCCTCAATTTTCACTAAAAAGCATAATAACAATAATAGGATCCTGGTCCTGATCAGTCAAAGGAATTGGGCATCTAGAATGAGTAAATTCGCTGCTGGAAGAGAAATGAGCACAGACCTTGGATAGTCCTTCCCACTATTTCATGCTCACAGTGGATCTGGTGGGTTTGTTTGTTTATTTTTTAAAAACCATTTCAAGTTTTTTGCCTGTTCTGTTTTTTTGTCATATTAAAAGTGCAGTTCCTTATTTGTGCAACTGCCTTCTCTTGGACACAGCTGGAGAGAAACTCTCACGTGCCCGGCTCGGTGCAGTGGCAGGAAGGCAGCATGCTCATGGGTTCTAGAGCAGACCATATTGCTGGTCTTGCTGACCATCATCCTCACTACTTGTTCAATCTTGCAATTAACTGCCTGTGGAAATGTGTTAATAAATGTGGAAACTAAGCTGATGCTCACTCTAGAAGTTCAGGATTAGTTTGTAATTTAGTAATCAAATGGATGCTTTTGAGCACTCAGATAATCAAGTTGGAAATGATCAATGAAAATGAGCTGTGAAGCTTCCCATAACATCAGATGTTTGGGGGTTTTTTAAAGGTACTAGTGCTGTTCATTAAAACTATGTTCCACAAAATCAATCTCAATGTGACTGTGACTTGAGCTGAAGAATAGCACATAGAAGTGTAAACAACAGGAATGGAAATTATACATGAATCACAAGCTTAACTTAAATCTTAGAAACTAAGTTGTAATTCGGTTCCTTGAAGAGCACCCTGTAGTCTTTATTATGTGAGCCTTGTGCAACCAGTGGAGGTTGGTGCCTTTAACGGGCGACACGAGAGGGTTCCTCAGCTGCTGGAGACTGTCCCTGTGAAGTAAATTTATTTTATAATTAGTGGGTGGGAAGATGTTTATAACAGTGTGTAAACTAGACTAAGTGCCAGGATATTCCCACTGGTAGCTAACGTGTTGCTGGTGGTATCTACTGCGTGGAGATTTTCACGCTGTCACTGCTGTGTGGGTACCAGCTGGCAGTCTGAGGTTAACCAGTGGCGCTTTACTCATGCAGGTTTATCCTCCTGTAGTACTGTTTGAAGAACTGAGGTCTAACACATGTTAGGAATGTGTTCTTGTTGGAGAAGCTGATGTTACTGCCTTTTGTGTCATATCCAAGGATGACAGTTGGCTCTGTTTGGTTGTTGTAGTTTTTTGGTTTTTTTCTCTCTCTCTTTTTTCCCTGTGTGTGTCAGTGTGCAGTTACTGATTTTACTTTTATTTTGAAAGACTCTTTGCCTTCTTTCTCTGCTGGCTCATATTCACATGAAGATTAGGTGACACCTGTGGTTGTACCTAGTCATTGCTTTGTGCCATCAGGCTGTAGGTGCAGAAGAGCTGAGTGTTGAGTAGCAGTTAAAGCAGCATTCTTGTCTGAAGCAGATGTGTGATCTTTCACGTTATTGTCCAGTAAGCTAATATACACATTTGGAACAGTGGTTATACAGCAATCAATTTCACCTTCTAAAAGAGATGGATTCAGGGTTTAAGGAAGGCATGTTGTCTTCAGTGTGGGAAATGTTGTCTTTAATTTGTCACAGAGTGAATTTTTACTCTTTTCCTTTTTTTTTTTTTTTTTTAATAGGTCCTTTAATGTAAGAAGGGCAACAACCAATGACCTGCCTGGAGTTGAAATGCTCATTAAAACCCTTAGCTTGAAGAAAAGTATATTGAATGACTTAAAGATATTTATTGAGGCTCGCAGGGATCCAGTGAGTATTTGCTGCAAATATTCTTGCAAGAGAATGGATAAATACTGCTGAAAATATGCAGAACGTATTACATAAGATCATTATATTATATACAGTATTTAGGTACTCAAGCCAGCACCAACAGCCAGTGTGGGCCGTATTCAGCCTGCCTGGGCAGTTATTCTGACCAGTGGCCCGTACCAACCGCCCTCTTCTTCGGAGGCTCCTCCAGTGCAGGAACAGAAGCAGGCTGGATGCATTTTTTGGCCACCCACAGCCTGACTTGCGTTGTTGCTTTCTCTTGCACTTCCATCCAGCTATGTGGTTAACACAGACTTCTGTTTTGTCATGTGATAGGGATCTCTTTTCTCCTTCCCATAAGGGGGCCAGACACGTGCCCATCAGACAGTAAGGAACATCCGTGTTTTTGTTGTGTGCTGGAAAATGCTGCATAGACAAAACCCCAAGCACTGCCAATTATACAGCTGTAAGGAAATCCATTTTATGCAACTGTGGGTGAAGAATATCTGTTTGAATTAATATTATTTCCTAAGAGCAGAACTTAACCCAGGACTAAATTAGCAGATGAACTTTTAGCACTCCTGTAGCAGCTGGATCTGAGCTGGAACTGGAATTCAGGGAAGTTCAGTGTGGTCAAGAGTCCAGCCATACACACTGTTAAACCATTAGGGTTTGAGTTAAGGAAGAGTGGTTAAACTGGGGTAGTACATAGAAGGTACACTGAGAGGCAAGTCCTTTAACTGTGATTGTGTGGTGCAATACAGAGTTAGGGTTAAACAGAAAGATTACTAATGAAACAGGAAACGTGCATGTGTCGCTTTTGCCTTGCAGGATGGGGTCCCAGTCCAGGCTTTCGTAGCAGAAGTTTTGGATCAGATAGTTGGCATTTCTGTCACGAGAGATGAAATGGTAACTTCTGTCTGAATTGTATGAAACCTGCCATGCTTAGCTCTCGCCCCGGAAGGCTGATTTTTGTGCTTACTACCATACATGTACCTAACAGAAAGTATATGTAAAAGATACTGCTTCCATATACTTCCTTTCTCTTCCCTGAGTGTGCAGAGACTGTTATTTCCCATCTCATAGATGAGATTGACACAGATGAGAAACAATCACCCTGTTATTTGCAAGTAGCTACTGATGTGTTCTGAAAGTCTGGCTCCTACGCCTCGGGCTGGCTCTCCAGCACAAAGCCATTCCACCTCTGTTTACAATCATCTCTTTTACCCCCAGATTTCCAAAGTCAATAAACAGTTTTGCAACACAGCTGATTTCCAAATTTTTCTTTTCCAGGATATTGAGTATATTCGGTCACATTATAACATAGAGGATTTCATTGATTGTAATCACTACCAGCAAGAGGAACATGGACATCTTTACCACTTTGTCTTAAATCCTATATTTCGTCACTATACAAAGCACTTTCTAAAGGAGATTCTTCGCTTGGCCCACAAATCTTCTCTTTACTATCCTGTTTATCCACCGTATATCGAAGGCAAGGTAAGGAGAAAGTTATTTGTATTTCTTTTACTAAATACTGTTGCCTTTGCTCACTTAGTTTTTCTGTTTGCTTCTGTGAATGACTGTAAAGGGGAATTCTTAGAGCAGCCTGTAGCAAGTTGTGCTCCTTTTTTCTTGCACGATTTAAGAATGATTTGTACTCCTGTCATAGTTCAACAATGGAGCCTGATCAGGTTGTACTGTCCCACATACTGCCACTCAGCTGCAGAAGTCATTTTACAAGGTACCAGTATTTTTTTAGATTCAGGCTGAAGTGGAGGGCAGGGAAGAAAAAAACAATGATGTCTCTGGAGATAATGCAGCATGGGGAAAGGCAAGGGGATGACAAGTAAGAACACGTCCAGCCAGTTTATAAGAACTCCTCAGAAGTGATTTAGGAACTCTAGACCATTTTTCTTCAAAGCTCAGTGGGACTTAGGCACCACATTGTCACTGAAAATGTGACTTGTGTTTCTGCAAGTGCCACAGGAGAACTGTGAGAACCTAATGCTCTGTGAGAAAATCCATCTCCGAGAAGAAGCTTCCATCATTTGTGGAAACAAAATAAAAGATTATTTTGAAAATAGTAATTTGTGTCTTGTCCTCAGTCTCATGCCAGAAAAGGGAACGCAGGGTACAATTTTCAGACGTGTCCACTCGTGGATGTGTAGGCATCTAAAGGTGCTCTCTGGCCCAGCCTCAAGGCCTAGGCTCCTGCCAGGGTAGCAGGGGACGCCCGGTGTGTCCAGGGGGCAGTTCATCCCGCAGCCCCAGCTGCCTGGCTGGGCAGGAAAGAACTGCCCTCTGGAGATGCTCCTCTCTAACTCGGGGGAGTGTCTGCACGGCTGCCTGGAGTAAGCACCTTGTTTTACATGGTGGCTGAGGTCAATCCTGTCCTCAGTGACCTGGTGGTTTTTGAAATCGACACCTTTTTTAAGGTGGGAATTTCCACAGGTTAAACACGGGTATGTTTTCAGAAGGATGTTCTTTCCTGTGCCCTTCTGTGAAGTTTTATTGAGTGTTCTCCTGAGGAACCAGTGTCCTCGTGTAGCATTAGGTTCTCAGACTCTTAAGAGGCACTTACAAAAATGCAGTTTAATGGCAGTGGATGGAAGGGTGAAGTTAAATCTTACTAATGATTCCAGTTTGGTCTGATTCTAGGCTACAGACTTCATTTAAGTTACTTAAGCTTATCATGGCTTTCTAATAAGTGGTAAATGTGATATTTTGCTCTATTCTCAACGTAGTACCATCAAGTTTTTTCAATGTTTGTGGATGGAACGGTACTTCAGTGTAATTTGGTTTGCATTAATGTTCATTCTCTATTTCCTGTAATTCTCTTCTTTATTCATTTTTTCCCTTTCATGTTGTAAACGATGACAGAGCCAGTCATGCTGTTACAAATGGAACGTGGCTCTTTCTAATGCTCCATGCTATTCACATTAGCATTGGGGGGTGTTCTCTGCAGGTTTGTGCCAGTTTATTAACATTTATCACTTGGGTGAAATTGACGTTTTAGTCAGTATAGAATTTCTATATAAATTCATAACCGTTCTCTGCCAAACAAGCAAAGGTTAGCAGTAAGCAGATAGCATAGCTTAATGAGGTCAAATCAAGCTGATTCACGATCACTATGGAGAAAAATATCCTCCTGGGGAAAATACTCGTGCTGAAAAATCCCATAAACCAAACCACTTGTTTATCTGTCATTCCCACAGAGATAGTAATGTAATTACTCTCATAATTATCTTCATTAGTGTCAGGAATTATCTGCAATTCATTCCTCTGCTCTGAGTATGTTTGTTTATTTGCTGATTTTTCCCTCAGATTTAGCCAACAGAGCTAAGAATTTTGTATTTGCAAAGCCATGCAGCAGACATCTGCGATGCACTGCTCTGACATTCTCTCTGCTGACATATAGATCTCTGTCTTTCATTGCAGAACCCCTGCGCCCATTCCCTGACATCTGCCCTTCATTACATGGCTCCCGTGCGGCCCAGACGACAGATTGTCTATCCTCTGGAAGAGCTTGGCATGAACGCGCCGGCAGAGCAGGTCTCCAAGGATCAGGTGGGTAACAGAAGCAGCAGCAGGCAGGAGGCGTGGTGCCAGCTAAGGCAAGGTTTGGCAGATGGGGTGGCATTACCATCTTAGTGTTGATAGTTTGCTTCTTAATTACACTGAGCGTGGTGTCCATACCCTTACAATTCCAGCTTTGCTTCTGCAGGGCCAGCGCTTCCTCGAAGCTGGAACTGCGAACACACTGCGGAGAGCAGTTGCTGAGCTCTGATGTTCACCTACTAAGTGCTTGTATTTTAACAGTGTTTTTCCTTACTTTATTTTCAAACTCTCAACACATTTTAAATGCTCTGACTTCATGTTCAGCCCTTCTTCCTGACAAGCTGATTTAGGTATAATGCTCTGCATGTAGAAGAAAGACAGTGTGTTGTTCCTGACTATTTCTGTAGAAATTGCTTAAGTAAGTTCTATTTTTCTCTCCCAAAGTCAAAGGTCTTCCATGTGTGAGATACCCTCAAAGAACATTTCAAAATATCAGGGAAGATTTAATGGCAAAGGAAAAGATTGTTCTCACAACCAAACATCTCTTATTTGTGTAGCACTCATGGCAGTCCAGAAGTTCTAAATGAAGAGTCTCATAAAATTTTCTTTGTCAAATGACTTATACTTTGCTCTGTCTTACATTTTTAAGTAACTAAAAATCTGATATGAAGACAGTTCATCACAAGAGTAACTAGAAAAGCTGAAATACCTGGAGAAACACCGTTGGTGATGGATGCTCTCAGTAGGTAGCTGTAATTTCCTAAAGAAACATCATTAGGGAGCTTTATGTCTGTCTGCTAATTTCCAGTTGGCTGAGAGGGGCTCCCATATAATATTTTTAGTGCTGTCCTTTTCACAGTCAGTCATTCTTGGCATCCAGAACTCTTAATTAGGCAGCATTTGGCAAAGCAAAATACAGAATGTGGCTGAGGCCATTGGTCCAAGTTTGACTTTGTTAAATGGTCTTCCCTCGACGTGCCCATCCCTGCCTTTTCTCTGCAGAATGAGGAGTCTGGTGCTTTTCTTTAAACTGCTTCATACTTTATTTTTAAAATTAACTTTCTTCCTCAAGTGTTTTCTCACTAGAAGATCTCATTTTAGTATTTTTGCTGGAGCTGGAAGATCTCAGACTTTGTGTGTTTCAGAGATTTGCAAATCTGTTGTCTGCTCCATTCCCAGGTTCTTCCTGAGGATTTCTGAGAGCTGAAGGTAGGGAGATAATTGTTTAAAATCTTGACAGTTTAATGAATTTCTACATAATAAAATCTATAAGATTTTTCACTAACAAAGTTCTTCTGAAAAAAATAAAGAGTGTTAGCCACTGCAAAAGTATCCATGCATGTGCACTGGCATTAATTATAGATTTTTGACAGACTGTGTTCTATCAAAGTGGACATCTGGGGTTGATCCCTGGGTAGTAACTTGAGGATAAAGCTAGTGCACTACTGCTGCCGATAGTTTTCTGAAGTACCAAGAATTTGAAAGCATATAAAGCTAAACTGACTCTTCTCTTGAGTGAATGAAATGACCTTTGGCCACTATACACTGGAAAAGCTTTATAACTGAAGAAGTGACCCACTGCAGGGGGAAGCTGGTGCTGCTTTCACATCTTGGATGATCTGTTAGCTCTGGCAGTAGCCAGGCATAAGGCATTTGCCCTCTCTCTGCTCTCGTGTTTCGGAAAGGGAGGTCGATTCCCTATCAATAATCTGGCACTTCTCTGTGTATTTCATAATGTTAATATCATGACACTTCAGTAGGCACAAAATTATTGTACTTCTTTGTGTTTGTAAAGATCAAAAGGCCTGCTCAGGTGCTCTGTGAACAGAAGGACACGGTCTATTGCAAAGAGCAGAATATCCCCCTAAGGACTTAAATGTAATAACTTTGCAAAATGGAAAGGCTGAGAATTGTCACCTTAAAAAATACCGTGAGACAAAGCGAGACACATTTTGGCCATAGAGGATGGAATTGGCAGGCTGGGAAGTGAGGTAAAAGTTGAAAAAAGAGTGGTGTAAGGAAAGCATGGAAAAGAAAGGGAGAGAAGTGAAAGGCAGACAAAGATGCTGGAGCAGGAATTGCTGGGAAGTTGTCCGAGGGAAGCATCTGGGTGGCAGTGAGGCAAAAATGTCTGCTGTCATCTCTGTTAAAATGGCTTTAAACAAGGCTGGGGCAGGGTCCTGCAGGATCCCTCATGAGATTCACTCATCAATACTGACTGAGAACAGATAACCAGGATGTACAAGGGTTCTTTCCCGTTTCCTTCCCCCAAAGCCAGAAGTGAAAGCCGCAGCCTAAACCAGAAGAGCCTTTCCCTCAGCTGATTCCCATGCGTTCCCAGTCCAGGTGGGTCTCAGCTCTGCTGGAGGGATGGTTTTCCTGCAGGTCTGGATCTCTTTGCAGACAGATGAGCAACTGAGTCTGTGGAACCTGTGCTCGTGGCTCCTCTGTCAGATCTCTCTGTTCTGCTGCAGGGTCTGGAGGGGTGTGGTGGGGGAGCCACCGTGTGCTGCTCTCCTCTGGATCCCTGCCCTGCTCGTTCTGCTTCTGGCCGGCGGCATGAGCTGTGGTCTGTGCTCTGGGAGAGCTAGATGGGAGGCAGAGTGATTTACACTTAAAATCCAGAAATTTATCCTATAAAAGCATAACTCAACATTACCTGAATGACTATTTAACTGCAGTTTTCCAGGCACCCTGTTCTCTCCATGTCCTTGTGATATTTCCTGTGGTTGAATACTGTCTCTAATTTGAGCCACTTTTGGTTGTGGTCTGTTGGGTTTTTTTTTGGGTTGGTTGGTTGTTTTTTTTTCCCTTGTTTTGCCTCTGCTTATTGAAGTGACTGTGACTCTGGAGAAATACAGAGCTCAGGAACTCTGCCTGCTCCTTCTCTCTGTTGCCTGGCCTTTTTATTAAAGCTTTGCATATGTTTCAAGGCTACCATAATTTTTTTTCATACTCTCTTTTTCTCTGAAACCACAACTCTGTGCTGCTTTATCTCTGCATCAGGAGACCTGTCACTTCCCAAGCAGTGGCTCTCAGTTTCCTGGACAGTTATGACCACAGGTATATCTTCCTGCAATGCTCACTAATGACAGAGTATGTTTTTTTTTCCTATTCGTTGAGATCACAAACATATTTTGCTGCTGATTTATTGTGTCTGATCCTACAAAACTCTACCTCCCATTGATCTTCTGAAGAGGTTTGGTTAAATCAGGTGTGGACTGACTGAGAAGGCACAGGGTGGGAGGCATTAAAGACCCCAGTCTGCCCTGCAGCCCTCTGGAATGGCACAGAGGGCAATGGTGGTAGTTACTTCTGGTCCTGGGAGTGCCCGGGCTTGGGGATGCCTGTTCAGCCTCTGCAGCAAGCGTGTCCCAGGTTCCACACGTCAGCTCCAAGTCGTGTCAGGCTGTACATCTGCCGTGCTCCAGGGTTTCAGGACACAGACCCCAAACAGCTCCTGTCTGCTCATTAGATCAAACACTTTCTACAGCTGCTCCAAATCAAAAGGAAACCTCTGATTTTTGTATTCTGAATCACTAACCAGTATTGAAGTGCCAGTTGGCAGAAGATCCAAAGATTCAAAATCTTAATTCCCACAGTGTTAAAACAGATTAGATTATTATTGTGTTTTGCACATCTGTCAGTCATTCCAGTCATGTTACGTTAAAAAACAGTTGGTTACAGCAGAATACTAAATATCTTATGAAGGGCTGCTGGCCTTTGCAGTGCATGTAATTATTGGTGGAGTAGAAAGCTATAGATAATTAAATAATTTTTAATGATTTCTTCATAAATAAACAATTTATAAACTTGTTTGCTTTCCCACCATCTGGGAGCATTCTGTTATCCATCTGCTTCATGTAATTATCAATAAAAGGGAAGAATAGGTGATATAATTAACAAGAATAACTGATCCACAACGAAGAACAAAAATGTCACACATCTGTTGAAGTATTTTCTTGTTTCTGCCTTTTCATTATTATTCATGCTAGTGGGTTTTGTATATTTATTTTTAGTTCATGGGTGCACTCAAGCTGTCAGGTTTTATTGCACAGTTCAGAATTGTGGTTTTTTTTCAGCTATAGCTTCTAAAAAGAAGACAGAGAAGTTATAAAGCATTGCAGAAGCCCATACAGCATTGCCTAAATTTAGTCTGGAAAGAAAAAAAGGGCACCAAACCATCCCAACACTGTCTCGATTAATTTTGTACTTCCTGAGTGATGCTACAGGTGCCTTACAAGAACTGCTTAAGTAAGGACAAGAAGCAGCAAGCACGTGGCCTCCTGAAGTCCTGAAGTGCAAACGTGTTTCATGCCGGCTCAGTTTCAGTTCTCTATGAATTCAGCTGAGGCACTAGAATGCACTGCAAGTAGCAAAAATGTGAAAGGGGTTTGATGTGGTGGCTTTTGGTGGTGGTGTTTTTTTGTTTGGGTGTTTGGTTTTTTTTTTCCTCCTTTTTTTTTCTTTTTTTCTTTTTTTAATCATTAAGCCTCTAATAAGATAACAGAGAATAAATATAGCACAGAGAGCCTGAGTAGGGTGGGTGAGAGAATTCCCTGCTTTTTCAATATCAAGATTCACATGTCAAAGTTAAAACAGAAGCATTCCTACATGTTATAATTTGTGTGAGAACACATTGGTATTACTAGCAAAGGCTTGGTGTGTATGGTTTTCAGTTAACCAGGAAATAGTATTAATTTTTAAAGAAGTAACTGTTGCTTAAGATGCTATTGTGCTTGAGTAATGAATTTTTAATGCTTTTGTAGTATGTGCATGGATTAAAATCCATTATTTATTGTACCTGCGCTCGGTTGGTAAAGGTGATGATTTTATAGCACCAGCAGCCATGCAAACAGAGTCTTTCTGAACTGATGGCTGATAATAAATTTCCTTACTGTAAATGTCAGTGGGTTTTGTGTGTTGCTGCCATTACATCTTGTTTGGACGGCTGAATATTACACAATTATGGGAGGCACCAGATGGCATCATTAACAGGAATGCTCCGA